GGGGGCCTGGAAAGGTGGGAGCGAGCTCGGGGAGACGCGGGTCTGGGGTCTGGGCGGCCAGAGGGCCGGTCTCCAGGCGGAGCCTCCGCTCCCTCCCCCACCCCATCCCCGAGTATTTCCCGAGGTCTGGACTGGAAGGAGGGCAGGGGTTTGCGCGGCCACTGGGGCCCATCGGCCAACTCTCCAGCGTGGAACAGACTGGCGGTTGGAGGGGTGCAGGATCTTTGGGAAACCCTTATCGGGAAAGGGAAGATTACCGGCCCAATGATTGATTACCCTGGGACTGAGTCCTGCCCCAGGGAAGAGGGAAGAATCTTGTATTGGGGCCAGATTATGCATGCAAATAAAGTGCTCGGCCTCACCTGGACCCTTCTATCCCTGGAGACTCGACAGGCACCTACTTCTCTTGCTGGTCACTCAGGAGTCAGCTCTGGGAGGCCGGGGATTGTTCTGGTTCTGGGGTCCCAGGCGGCTATGCCTAGGCCCTGCTGGCTGCCCCTGCCATAGGGAGCATCAGACTCACCCTATCCTGCTAGTGCCCTGCAGGGCCCAGTGGGTGCTTCACCGTGAACAGGGAGGGATGCCACTCGACCTGTTTGTGCCTGTGCATGCTAGAGCTTCCTTGGCCACAGCTCAGAGCTCCTCTAGGCAAAAGCCTCACTTTCTGGAAGAGGAATCAGAGACTCTCCTCCCTGGTCTGAGGCAGGAGCAGTCTCCGCCAGGTTGGCACTGATGTTGGCTCTGATTTTGACCATCTGGAGCACTTTTCCAACTCAAGTATGTTGCCAGACCAGTGGAGTGAGGGGTTTGGTCATAGAACTAAACCTGGGCCCTGAATTTGTTCACCCACCTGCCATCAAGTAAGAGAAAAGCTAATTTAAAAAATGGAAAAATTAATTTACTCATAATTTGGCCAAATTGGGAGGACAGCTGGTCCACCCTTCTCCAGCAACAGAAGCTCACTCCAATGTGCGGGGCCCAGGCTGGGAACGTTGAGTCCTCCTTGGCCCCAGGGACTGGGGGGGGCGGGTTAGGGCGAGGTCTGCTTTTAGCTGGAGGAAGCTGGAAAAACAACTTTTTTTTAAATCCTAATTTTTAAAGATCCATTTTAACCTTTCAGATACAGGCTGAAGTCCAGGTGTAGAAAGGAGAGACCCCAGACTCATTCTCAGAGGGCTGGCCTGTGCTCCCCCACTTGGGGCCCTGGCCATCCCAGATATGAACTCCCCAGCATTCCTTTTCCCTGCCCTAGGGTGTTAGGAGTAAATCCTGCACAGCAATCAGGTGTCCCCACCTAAGGAGGACTTTTGTGCCCTTGTTGCTATCTCCTTTAAGCTGCCTTCCAGCCATGGAGGGTGGTAGAAGAGTGTTATTGAGGGCACCCCTGTGGAAACACAGGAAAAAGAAAGAATAGACCCCCATTCCCTTATCCAGTGGGAACAACCTAGGGCCCCATTCCCCACTGTGGCCCCCAGGTCTCTACCTCAGGAGTGGCCTGGACTGTAGGCACCCAACTAGCCAATATTATTTCTGATCACCATTCCTCTACCTCAGGACCACCAATGGGCCTACTCCCAGGGCTTCTGTTTCTGTTGGATTCTGAAAGTGCTATTCCCAGATTTGGGGGTGGGGGTTTGTAACTAGCTGGATACTGGCAGGTCCCTGTACAGAATGGGGGCAAATGACCCCTGGGAAGAGAGAGGTGTGCCTAGTCACCTGGCATTGTCTGAGCTCTGAGCTGGGACAATAGCCATGGGTGGGCACCCTGGCCCTCTAACAGTTGCATCTCTCACAGCCACAGTGGGACCAGCTTCTTTTGCTTTGTAAGCCCTCCACAGATGTTTGTTCCCTCAAGCATGAAGGTCTTCCTATCAGCACTGCTAGCCACCCTCCTGTGTGTGGAGCAAGGTATGGTGCCTGGGCCCCTGGACTTCTTCATAGGCCAAGCCCTCCTGGATCCCCTCCTGCCTCTGCCCTAAACAGAAACCAAAACCCCTTCTAGGCCAGCTTCCATAGGACTTTCTGGGTACTCCTGGCCCCTCTAGAAATCTCAGTGCTGCCTTGGCCATACTGTTGTCACCCTGTATTTGAGTTTGGGAGGGCCACGGTCTGGTGTCACCAATAAATGTTCATAAGCAATTGGGTGTTGAGGGCCAGAGCCAGGAGGGCACACTGGAAGGCCTCCCCCTGGGTGAGAGAGGCATAGCCTGCAGCATTTCCCTCCTTCTGCAGCCCACTCCCTGATGTGCTTTTCCTGCACTGAACAGAAGAGCAATTTCTACTGCCTGAAGCCAACCATGTGCTCAGACTCTGACAACTACTGTGTGACCTTCTCTGCCTCCGGTGGCATTGGTAAGTGCTAGTAAGGAGTGGCCAGGCCTCAGTGCCACTGTCCCCATCTGGCCATTCCCTCAGCTTGAGGCCAGGGCTCTAGGAGCTGTTCCTATCACCTGTGGTCAGTCTGTCCCCTCAACAGCCTCTTTTTCCACGCAGGGAAACTTGTGGACTTCGGATACTCTCTGAGCAAGGGCTGCTCCCCTACCTGCCCTGGCCCAAGCATTAACCTCGGCGTGGTAAATGTGGACACCAGATGCTGCCAGAGCTTCCTATGCAACTTCAGCGCTGCTGGAGGTGGGCCTCAGGCTAATACCCTGCTGCTGGGCCTTGGGCTTCTGCTCAGTCTACTGTCGGCTTTGCTGCGACTGGGCCCCTGAACTCCTTTACCCAGTGTCCCATGCTCCCTCAGCTCAGGAAGAAAAGCCCAGCCCCTTCCAGACTCCAGGAGGCTGTTAGAGCATCCAGTTCCTCCTGATTCCTACTCATCCCCTGGGCCCCAGGGCCCAGCCCACCCCTGCACTCACACCACCCTTTCCCCAGGGCCAGCCACCTCACTTCTTAGCCTAGTCATGTCCCTCTGAAGCCTTAGGATCTTAGCGACATGACTTAGTCTTGTAGATGCACAGGAGGAACACCAAAACCCGAGGTCCTTTTGGCAGGCTGTTGAAGGACATTTTGGGGACAACAGGAACAAGGGTCAGGCCCAGTGGTCACACCCCAGAAAGCCCCTTATCCTGGAATTTCTACACACACAATGTACTAACTTTAGGGGTAATCTTTGAGGGAACTATCAGTGCCCTCAGCTCCAGGCACCCACCCCAGATTCTGCTGAGCCCGCCTGCCCCACCCCCACATGGGCGCCCTCCCATTGCTTTTGGTGCCTCAAATAAATGGTTTCTACCCCTTGCTCTGCATTGCTGTCCTTGTGCCCCTGCCCTTTGTTAAAGGCCCCTCCCAGCAGGACGTATGTTGGGGAAGGAGAAGCAGAGATCCTCAGGTTCAGAAGGGCCTGGGTATCCTCCCTGGTACAGCCCCAAACTAAGGCCCACTGGGGCGGTGGGGGAGGATAAGAGCCCCTTAAGTCCATAGCCAGCTGCTTAAGAGGTCTAAAAGGGAGCCTCAACCAAGGGACTTAAAACAAGGTCAAGGAAGAAGGTCATGGTCCCCAGTTTGGGGATGTGGGAGCCAATGGTGCTTCAGCTAGCCTGGGTTTGAGGAAGGCACTGTCTCAGGTGCAGCTGTCCCAAGGCCTGTGGGAAGAGCAGGCCAGGCCGGACACAGTGCCTCTTCGCCAGATCCATGTCATCCCAGGAACTGAAGTGGCTTGCATATGACCACTTGCCCTTTGCAGATTAAACGTGGTCTGAGCTCACAGGAAACGTGGCCCACAGTTGTGCCCAGCCCATGGAGTTCTTGGCAATGGGCTGGTCAGGAGGAGGGAGCAGGAACATGCAGGAAGCTTCTCCTTGAGCCTGGATGCCCTTTGCAGATAGGTGTTTTGTAGACACTCCCCAGGTCTCAGGTTGGTGAAGACATAATGGGTAGGATCTGCTCCAGAACTCTGTTCTGGCTGTTCCTTGGTGTCAGATGAGGAGCCTGCAGTGAGATGGGACCTGCCTGTGGCTGTGATCATGATCCTTTTCCCCACTCCATCTAAAACTGTGCCACATGGCCAGAGCAACAACCACTCAGGACAGTAGGCATGGAACACATAAGTGCATTAAAAAAAAGAGGAAATATCACCAAACACCTCACCACAAACACAAATAGAACACCTCAGCCTACAGCCCAGGAAACCCCTCCCTCTTGAGTCAGATGACCCAGTAACATCACAGACACCTTTAAAAACAGCCTGAAATGTGTAAAACAAGCAGGTGATTGAACCTCTGGGCAGCTGTCTGGCTGCCTGCAACTCATTGCTCCAGAGTGGGCTTTTCACCCATGCTTCCACCTCTGCTGCCATTGTCACACATCCCCTTAGCATTCTGCCTTAGGATGTATCTGATTTTAAGCTCCTGTCTCTGTCTCCAGGTGGCAAATGGGGTCTGGGTCTTAAGAACACCACACTGCAGAGGAATGGTGGTCTTCGTCAAGGCTCAGGGTGGGCACCTGAACCCTGCAATCTTAAGTGTCCAGCAGAGCAGGGCAAGACTAGGATTGACTCCTAAAAGCATTAGGAAATGAGGCAACCTCACAGACAGGCAGAGGTGTCTGCCCAGGGCAGCTCTGAGAGACCATTGCCCAGTTCCAGTTCAGCAAGCCCTGGGGAAGCTGGAAATTGTGGCTGAAAAAAAAAAAAAAATACAGTTCCTGGGGTGTTAAATAAAAAGCAAGAGGAGGGTCGGGATTTAGCTCAGTGGTTCTGCTGCCTGTCTTGCAAGTGCAAGGTCCTGAGTTCAATCCAGGTACCAAAA